CCCCCCCCCACCCAGTGCCAGCTGAATGTGGCAACGGGCATGATTTGCACGTGGCCTGAGGGGTTCCTCACTGAACTGGCAGGGCTGGAGACCACAGCCACTTGGTGTCTGCCTCCTGAAGGGTTTCATCCGCTCCCCCACATTTTGGTTCAGGCTTGGGCTTCCCCACTGGGGTGTGGGGCAGGGGACACACCATCTGTGCCTCTGCCCGTCTAGGCGTGGTTAGTGTGAGCGAGGGACTTCACCCGCCTGAGCTCAGTCTGCTCATCTGTAGAATGGGGATAACAGCTGGCATTCTGGATCATGCAGGGCAGATTTGAACAGAAGGGCGCGGAAGCATGTTGTACAGCATCTAGATGGGAGAGCCTGGAAATGACGGAGCGGGCTCTGCACCCAGCCAAGTGGCTGAGCTGAGCCGTCCTGGTTCCGAAGGCTGACTACTTCCGTAGCCATCAGACAGACCAGTCCGGCTGAAGTACTCATGGCAGGAGGGGGCCAGGGTGTGGTCACCTTTTTTTGCTCCCACGCAATCGTCTCAGCAGTTTTCCCATCTACCCCTCACCACAGCCCTGGGAGGAAGGCAGGGCAGGAGTCGTTATCCCTCTTCCTCTGCAAGCAAACGGAGGCCCAGAGAGGGTCTCCGAGCTCCGTGGGTTCACACGGCAAGGGGGTGACAGCCCGGCCTTCCAGACTCCCTCATGCTCTTTGGAAGGCCTGGCCAGACAGACTGAGCCTAAGCTGCTTTTGGCCCCTGGTGGTTACCTCAGGCCGGTGGAAGATGATTCCCCAGCACCCCGTTAACTTCAGCTGCTTTTCTCTCGGTGTTTAATGTCTCTAAGCCTGGGCGTGGAGGGTCCTCCTGTGCTTCTGCCCTTGCTGCCCCCTCACACGCTCTAGCTTAGCCCCCACCCGTGGGCCGCCCTCTGCCCTAGAAATCCTTCGTTCTCCAAAGCGTGGGTGCCCAGCACACCGGGGCCAGCCGCTGGGCTGACTGGAAGGATGGGCACTTCTGCGGGGAGTTCTTCCGGGGAGGACCCTGCAGGCACTCCTGGGATCCTCACTAGGCTCCAGGAAGGCTCTGGATGCCTTGTGAAGTTTGCCCAGCCTGGGAGAAGCCATGTCGGGCTGCTTGTCCAGAGGCTTCGCTGAGAAGTCTGGGGGTGGGCCGGCAGGCCCTTCCTAAGCTCGCCCCACACAGGGTCTGTGCGTGGCTCCCTCCCTTGCTTCGGGGGTGTGACCCCTGACATCCCCTCCATCATGTCCGGTCTCTCCTCTTTGCCGCCTCTGGGCTTGTCCTTCTCAAAGTGGTAGCCTTTGAAATGTGCCCCCCTCTGCTGCCCTCCTCCAGCATCAGGAGCCTTTTAGCCCTTCCTTTGGGGTGTTAGTCCCGCTGTACAGGTGAGGAGGCTTAGTGGCTCTCCCAGTGTCACACGAAGGTGGGAGCACCCAGTGTGGGCCCGCGACGGGGGTGTGGGCGTGGCAGGAGGAGGTGGCCGCGGGGCCCGCTGACCATCCTGTCCTTCCTCGTAGCCCTGCTGTCCTCCTGGTGCGAGGAGCTCGGCCGCCTGCTGCTTCTCCGACATCAGAAGAGCCGCCAGAGCGACGCCCCCGGGAAACTCCCCATGCAGCCTCCCCTCAACTCCATGAGCTCCATGAAACCCACTCTGTCGCACAGGTGAGTGGGCACGTGCCTCCAGGGGTGGGCGCTAGGCAGCCAGCCCTCAGGCCCCGACGTGCCCTTGGAAGAGCCCCTCAGGTGGCAGGACTGGGGTGGGGACCTCTGAGCAGCCGTGAGGATATTCCCTGTTTTCTCAAATGCCGCTGTTCTTTAAATCCATGTGGGTGAGCGCCGTTTCTCCAGCGTGACAACGGAGGCTGCAAGCACTGGTCTTACCCAGCCTAACTGCTTTGTCCCTTCAGTGGAGGGCCGTCTCTTCTTGAGGTTCTAGACTCTGGGCTGAAAGGTAACCATCCTGAGCCCAGGGTCTTCCCCCTTTTCCTGAGCGAGGTGTTGGGCAAACCCGGAGACACCCCGGGGCCCAGAAGGGGCTCGAGAACGTCACAGAGCTGATGGTCCCACCGGCAGATGGATGGGGCCAGAGCCAGCCCAGGCCGACCACGCAGGAACCGAGTGAGGCTGGGCTGTTAGCACAGGGGTGGGGCCACCAGAAGCGCAGGGACACAGGTGCGAATGGTGTGGCGGAGGCCATCAGGCACTGAGGAACTGGCCGGTCCGCCCTGCACTGGCCTCAGAAGGAGCGTGGGCTCAGGCCCCGCAAGTTCTGTGGCTAAGTATTCCGCAGGTCCCTTGCTGAGCTGGGCACGCTCTCGCCCAGTGCTCTACCGGCTGAGCAACAGACCCGCCATGCTGTCTGCTTTTCCTCTGCGGGTCCCGCCAACGAGCGCGTTTCCGGGTGAGGTGCATTTGCAGTCAGAGCTAGGCTCCCGTTGGTGACCCAGCCCGACTGAGGCACCCGCGGCCCAGAGCACCCCGCAGGAGACCTGGCTCACACCGTTGAGGTGCTGCCACAGAAGCAGGCACTGGCCACACTCCACAAATTGAATTGGAGACTGTTGATTCTCAGAGCCACAGGGGAGCTCCTTAGGTCCAGCACCCTGCCCAGACAGGACGGCCCCAACACATGGTTCCCTGCCTCTGCCAGAAGCACTTTATAGGACGGCAAGCCCGTCACCACTGCCTCACCGCACCCTCAGCCCGACCTGTGACCACTCAGACTCAGGACAGCCCCCCTTCTGTGCGTGTTTCCTGGTGGGTGGTACTGTGTTGGCATTTGGGCCAGGGCGTTTTTTCATCGTGCGGGACTTTGCAGGGCATTTAATATCTCGGTCCCTGCCCACTCGGTTCTTCTACTGCCCCCTCTCCCACCCCCACGGTGCTAAAGTACCTTCACACAGTCTTGGGGGTGAGGGTATCACCTGTGGCTAAGAAGCACTGCTCTAGAGAGACAAAACCCACCTCTGGCCGCCTTCCTCCCCTCACCCTGGCTCAGCAAAAAGCCACAGGTCTTGTCCGTCTGAGCGGCTGCCAGCCGCTGTGCACTAGCTGGGGCTGAATGCAGCCTAAACTACCCAGCTCGCATTTACCCTTCTTTTAGTCTGTTCCCACTCTGCCCCGCCAGACTCATCCTGCCTCTTGTTGCCTCACACGTCCTGTCCTTCCAGCCTGTCCCCCTCCAATTGGGCCAGGGCCCTGCAGCCCCGCTTAGAGGCCTGCCTCAGACCTGCTTGGCCATGACCGTTCAGGCCACGGGGCGCCATGGATCTGGACCCCGGCCAGGCCTTTGCCAGGCTGTTGCTGTGCTGAGCTGCCGGCGTGAGAATGTCCCGTCCTGGAATTCACCAGATGAGGGATGTCTGTGCTCCAGGGGCTACATCTCGCTAGCTGGGGAAGTAAGACCAGTGAGGCAACTTGGGAACTGCCAGATCCAGGCAGGGTTAGGGTTCGGTGACAGGTCGGCCTGGCCTTGGGGTTCCAAAGGAGGAAAATGGCTGTCAAGAGGCTGCCCAGACGACATGGGCCTTGGTCTTCAAGGGTTTGATCTGAGAGCTGGGCAGGTGCCTTCTAGGAGTTTGAACTGGCTTTCCCTCAGTGGGCCGAAGAGCTGCTGGCTGGTACCCAGTGCCCTGCCACCTGTACCACCACTGGTTCAGCTCTCTGTATGTGCTCACAGAATGATAGAGAATGCAAAACAGCAGCCTCTCAGAGATGGGAGAGCCCTGTGCCCTGGAAGGTTTCAGGGAGAAGTGATGGATGACCAGCTGCTTCCGTGGAATGCGGCCTCCTTAACGTAGCACATTCTGGACGACACCTCCCGCCCTGAATGTCAGGACGAGAAGGGAAAGTGGGCCCAGAGCAGGACAGTGACTTGCCCATGAACACACCGCATTGAACCACACACAGTGCTCTGCCCTTCTCTCTGCTGCTGGCCATTCAAGATCAGTGAGGTGCTGTCTGGTTGTTCACCCAACCCTGATCCAGACCTTGCCCTATTCCCCATTCTGTAGCAGGGCAGCTGAGACCAGAAAGAAGTGTCATCAGTTGAACAAGGACCGGTCCACATCCCTGCTGATGCAGGGCTGAGGCCGAGATCACATTGTGAGCCAGTGATTCGAGTCTGGTTGGTCTCTACTCGTAGCTTCATGAATTTCCCGGGAAATTCCCATGAGGGGCATCACCTTTTAAGTCCTCGTGTAATTTCCCAAACCAGAAGGAAAGAAAGTTGAAGAGAAAGTCAAGTATTTTCACAGAAAGGAAACTTTTCTGACCACCCTCCTCCACAAGTGTATTGAGTGATGTGGGGACAGAAGCCCCTCTTGCCTTATAATTAAGGAGACCCTAACCCAGGTGAACTTGAGGACCCTGTGATGTCCAGGATTTGGTGTTTGAGATGTGTGGCTGTTTGAAAACTCAGGGGTCTTTGTCTGTAGGCTCTGAGGACAAGTAAATAAAAGGGTGAGGGAGCCTTGGAAGCCTGAAGCCCCAGGCTCTCTCTGGGTAACTGTGTGACTGTCGCATGGTCACAGCCATTTACATTTTTGTTTTAATGTTTGTTTATTTTTGACGTGGGAGAGGGGCAGAGAGAGAAGGAGACACAGAACCCAAAGCAGGCTCCAGGCTCCGAGCTGTCAGCGCAGAGCCTGACGTAGAACTCAGACCCACAAACCATGAGATCATGACCTGAGCTGAAGTCGGACGCTTGACCGACTGAGCCAGCCAGACGCCCCGTCGTGGACATTTAGAGGAAAGGTTACATGGAGGTTGGTGCCACGGCACCAGGCTGGGAGTTGGGGCCCGTGACCCCTCGAGCCGATAGGCACACGGTGGCACTCATTGCCACGCAGGCCCCAGGCATCAGAAAGGGCCAGCCGATGGCAGCCCCGTGGCAGTTGCTGAGGGTGACAGTGTCAGGAGGAATGTCGAGTGCCCGCACGTTTGGGGAGGGCTTTGTGGTCTGTGGAGCAGTCAATGGGCCGTCTTGGAGTCTGGTCCTGATGAGCGAGCTGTAGGTAGGTGTGTGCTCTCCACTTTACAGGGATGTGCAGAGCTTCGGGCGGGAGAAGGAGGGCCGGGAGAGGCCAGCCCAGGGTGGCACGGGGCCTCGGGCCCACGGTCCTGCAGCTGGACCCCTTCACAGTCCCCGCAGCGGCCCGGACTTGTTGCCGGCAGACGTTTCTGCCTTCTTCTTGCTCATGAGTGGTTAAAAAAGCCATTTGTGATTAGCACATTGTCCATATGCAAATCAGTGCTGCAAAAGTAATTAAAAGCCTAATACATCTTGTTTACACTCTTCGTTTAATTACAGCCAGAGCCCGCTAGAGCTGGGGAACACTCCGGAATCAAGGGGTGCTGCCCTTCTTCCAGGAGAGGGGTTTGCGGCCCCCCAGAAGAGAGGTGCCTGGGTGCGGCCCCCGTGCTCCCCTCGGTGTGGCAGGTTGGGGCACAGGCCCTGAGCCAGGCTGCGGGAGGCGAGCTGCTGCCCTGGCGTCTTCCAGCTGGGGAATTTTGGGCAGCTCTGTAACCTCTCTGTGCCTCAGTTTCCTCATCTGTAGCACTAGAATAACAGCAGTGCAGGACTTGGAACGTGCTTGCCGCCGGGCCTGGCACACAAGATGTCCCACGGGCCAGTCATTATTCCCCCAGCCCTCCGCTTGGTGCCGGCAGACTCTGGCGCTCTCACTCTTGTCAGCTGACGAAGAAGGGGTCATTCAGAGCTGACCCCTGGTGTTCTCCTTTCCTTGGTCACATCACACTACCTTCACCGCCTTTATTGTTAGCTGCTTTTGTGTAGCCGTACCCAAAGCTCAGAGGGTAACAGGCCCTTCTTGCCCCCAGAAAATTAAAAAAAGACAGAGAAAGCGAGGAAGAAAGCAAGAAAGCAAGGAAAGCAAGCAAGGAAAGAAAGAAAGAGAGAGAGAGAGAGAGAGAGAGAGAGAGAGAAAGAAAGAAAGAAAGAAAGAAAGAAAGAAAGAAAGAAAAGCAAGGAAAGAAAAAGAAAGAAAGAAAGAAAGAAAGAAAGAAAGAAAGAAAGAAAGAAAGAAAGAAAGAAAGAAAGAAGAAAGAAAAAAGAAAGAAAGAAAAAGAAAGAAATGAAAGGGGGATTGAAGGACCCATAAATCCTGCTCCATCGGTTCCAGATTGCTAAGATACAGGATCTTTTCCTTTCCTCCTTCCTATTGATAAAATTTAAAACCCTGTAATATGCAGTTAGCGACGCATTTCCCTCTATGTTTCACCGCAGGGAGGAAAGGAAGCGGCCCGAGTCGTTGTGATGATAGAGAGCAGTGTTAATGGTCCCCCTAAATTAAAGAGGGTGGGAGCTTCAGCTCCTCACTGGCTTGGTGTTTCATTAATGGTAACTCTACAGCCTTGCATGGAGACGGGACCAATATAGCCAGATCAGGGAAATTAATTAGGGTCTGACAATACCCTTAATAGGAATTCGTTATTTCTCCCAAATAAAGTGGCTGTTAGAAATGCGAGGGAAGAAATAACTCAGCCCTCCCCTCCTCTTCCCTCCATGAATGTCTGTGTAGACACTGCCACAGGAGGTACCCGGGAGCCAGGAATCATCACTCCCTCTTGCTGGGCTTTACTCATTTTCTCACATTTAGCAAACATCAGTCAGTGCCCATGGAGCTGCCAAACAGACATGT